GAATGATTCAAAAGCAAGGACATTGGGTACCGTACGAGTTGAAGACGAGAGACGTCGAACGGCGTCTTGTCACATGTGAACACCTGCTTCAGCGGCAGAAAAGGTAAGGTTTTTTGCATCGTATCGTGACCGGCGATGAAAAGTAGATACAATCTGAGCCGCCATGCCTCCTGTCTTCAATTATTACTACTAAAATAATAATGCTACTACTACTACTATTACTACTACTAATAATAATATAAATAAACACCTTGGGACTTCTCGTACGCGTACAAGTACAAGTGTTCTCGAATGAAGATGAAAATGCACCACCTCATCCCACTGGGTGTGGACAGCTGGCACTAAGGTTCCGTTTCCTGCAAAAATTGTTATCTTTGCTTACAAGTAATAATATGATTATTGTTATGTTACAGACTTACTCTGTCACGATGCCAATATGATGCTACAGTCTCTACTTTCCCCTCACATCAAATAATAATAATAATTTCTTCTCTTCAATAATAATAATAATAATAATAATTCCAAAATACAAATTATAAAAAAATTGTCACTCAATATTTTTGATTTACCTCAGAAAACATCAAATATTTTCCTGAAGCGATATTACTTTAAATAACTATATTGCTTTAAACTTTAATCTTTTGAGAATTTTTTTTGCAGTAGACTGTCTGTCTGTCTGTCTCTCTCTCTCTCTCTCTCTCTATATATATATATATATATATATATATATATATAAAGAATGAACAGCGACAGTCTATATCTATAAAACCGGAAGCCGAAATAAACACAATTAGAAGAAAACAACAAGAAAATGAGAAAAAAAGAGAGAAAAGCTGAGTGTAAAGAACGACGAAAAAGGCAAATAAGCACGACATTCTACACGCACGCGCATACGCGCATACGCGCCGCAGACGGGCGGATAGGCACACGCGCGGCAACACACACGCCCACACGTACACTATATAAAAAAAAGAATCAAACTTGCACCAATGAAAAGTGCATATAAAAATCTATATGAACAGTCAGTTGCTGATGCACACTGACGAATGGACAGAGTGATTTCCGAAGGAGGATCCGACTACGAAATTCTTCTTCACAGTTTGGAATTCAGAATAGTTCTCCTCCTACGCTGATAGTTATTTCATATTTATATTTGAGCCAGAGTGAAAAACAATGGAGATTTGCCTTTTACCGGCAAAGCTCTGAATTGAACTCGGTTCGACGATTTTACTTTCCACGTCAGTAACCGTTACGCTGCCTACACATCCACAAATCCTCATTTCTTTTGCATATTTCAGTTTCTAGCAAGGCGTACCGATAATCGTACTTATTGAGTTATAGAAATATCGATTAAAAATACATTATTAAATGAGTTTACACTGACTTTCGTAATTTTTCATCTCTGAATAGAACAATGGATTCCAAGAGTCATTGTTCTATTCAAAACCATAGCAGTTGATCATGGTTGAATGAATGCATTTTATTTTTATTCCAGCCATTCTTAGTAAAGATTCCTCTTTGAATTTCAATAAATACAAAAGCGAACAATTTTATCTACCCCATTACATTCAGGCTAATATATTGAAACGAATCCTGGAATTTATTCTAATTACCTAGTTTTCAATACTCGCAATACATAGATTGATAAATAGGCAATCATTATAGACCGATAGATAGATAGATAGATAGATAGATAGATAGAGAGAGAGAGAGAGAGAGAGAGAGAGAGAGAGAGAGAGAGAGAGATAGAGAGAAAGGGTTATAGATAATTTCATGGTAATTGTTCTAATGTTCCCTACTCCTTTTGGTAGCTGGATCGCATGAATCTAAGCGTATGACTATATTTGTAACTAGATCTCATCGGGTTACAGATGAATTAACTAGATGTAACCGTGTCGATAAGCTATATCCGGTAGCAAGGCTTTTGAAGGGCATTGGACCACCTCTTAATCGTTGTCGTTCCCAGGTCCACCCTGACCCGGGGTAGTAGCACCTGTTAGGGTCCCAGTTATGGGTAAATATTTACCCCAGCCCACGAAACGGGCGCCAGAACACTATGAAAGTGCAGAAGTACATTTTTATAGTTAATGTGCAAGCAATACATTTTCATAGTAAAAAAAATTATCAACAATTCGTTTTTATAAGGAAAAATAAAAAATTACCAGCAATACATTTTTTAAAAGAAATTACTAATACTTCCCAGAAAATTAAATTCTGGTTTTAAATGACCCATAAGGTGTTGATATGCCGTTAAACAACCCCCCACCCCACCAAAAAAAAGCAGTTGTATCCGTAAGTTTGTAGTGAGTGCAAAATAATAATAACTCCCTTTACCCACTCCCATAAAATTTGGGTGAGATGAGGACATAGGACGACGGAATGGAATTGGCGAGCCTATGTGAAATGTTCTTTGGACCAATGAAAACCTTGCCTTCGCAGAACTTGACGGAAGAGCTGAAAAGAAGGAGGAAATAAATTCGCGTGCCTATATGAAATTGCATTTGGGTGAATGAAAATCTTGTCTTCATCGACGATTAGATATTAGTGAGCCTATGCGAAATTCTTTTTTGATACAAAATGAAGAGAAAAAATAAATTAATTAGAAAAGGGTGTCTGAAGTCATGCGAAAAGTTTCGTTTCAGTTCCTCGCGACCAGTAACCAGCGTTGAAGTTTGCCAGTGTCAAATTATTCGGCAATTATCGGCCTTTAGTCAAGCACGTTGATAAGTATTTCAAACTATCTCTCTTCGTCTACTTTTCAAACTATGCAAACCACATATCCACTCGGTGAGAAACGAACTCTCTTACAATTGTTTTAAATATTTTTTTAATATTATATTATGTCAGATCATTTAATCTCTTGTGTGAATATTTCCTCTTCATAACAATTCGTTAAAACTACGGAATAATTTCTAATTTATTTTCCTGAAACGAGCGACTGACGCTACTTCAAGAGTTCGGAAATAAATTCCTTTTTTTTATTCTTTTTTTTGGGGGGGTGTGTTTTCGTCTCCTTTCGTTTTCGCTGGATTATCCCTGAAGAAGACTAGGATTCTCATTTTTTACGCACCGTGTATCTTCGGGACATAGCTTTTTACAATTTCCTAACTTTTGTAGCTCTTAGCAATGTTTATTTCATTAAAGTCCCTCCCTATTTTTCCATCCCTGTACACAACAAGTTCATTAATCATTTTAATCGTTGCTTCCACCTGTCTCTTATGTCTATCCTGTGAGGATCCAATTTTCCAAGCCTTCTTTCTTTATGTGTCCTAGAATTGTTAACTGTCTCTTTCTGATTGTAAATATATACAACCGTTTTGTTTCAATTTTCTTCGTTACTCTGCGTCCGTGGTATTCTCAGCATCCTTCTGTAGAGGCATATCTCTATTGTATCAAGTCTTCTCTTCATCTTTGAGAAATTTGTCCAACATTGACAGTGGTATTGGAGGACAGATATTACATAGCAACTGAGCTCACTTTTATTTGTTTCTAGTGAAATTTTCCTCTTTCTTAATAGTTTGTTTAGCTTTTTGAAGACATATTTTTCTATCCTAATGCGCCTTCGGTGTCAAATCTTCTGTCAGCTGTTAAAATATTTTTCATCTAGTTAAATTTTCGTATTTACTTGATTTTAATATCCTCAATGTGTAACTGGCATCTTGCGGTGTTTCTCTTGTCAACAACCGTAAATTCTATTTTCTTCCTGCATTCCTTTACTACCGTATCTACGTGTTTCTGCCATCAAGACAGTTATATCGTTATATCTTATTTTGCTAAAAGTTTATCCACCGATGATAAAGTGTTGTAGCATACCTACGAACGATAATGGGTATGTCCCCATTCGCATAAATAGAGTAGTAAATACTGTATGTTGGTATGCAGTTGGAGATTCGTCTCCAGCTGTGTTGCTCAAACTCTCTACATAGGAGCAGAGAGGATCCCAAGACGAGGCTATGTCGAAGGGCAGAGTCCCATCTCGGGAAACAGCTACTCAACCCCGTTATATACGGTGTTTACGGGGAATTTTTTGACCGAGCCTACGGGTTCGGATATTCTACATTAAATTCGGCCTTGTACCACTTCTGACCACGTGGGCTATTTGTAAATATCTTGTAGTTGGAGATTCGTCTCCAGCTGTGCTGGTCAAACTCTCTGCCTCCGGGCAGAGAGGATCCCCAGACGAGGCTATGTCTAAGGGCAGAGTCTCGTCTGGGGAAACAGCTACCCCACCTAGTTTTATACGGAGTCTGCGTTTTTTTTTTTTTTTTGGACGAGCTTACGGTCTCGGATAACCCACATTAAATTCGGCCTTGTGCCACATCTGACCACGTGAGGCAGTTGGTAGATGTCCTTCAGTTGGAGATTCATTGTGGAATTCACTTGACTCACTTCTAGCAGTTGACCACGCGCCCCTGGCGAATCTTATATGTGTTGTTCTTGTCGTAAGTATTATCGTTCATTATTATATTTAGTTACATTTCCTTAGGTTACAACATAAATCCTGGCAGGACTTGTAATTCTCTTAGAAATAATCTACCAGTGAGAAGATGTATCATTGTCTTACGCACTTTTATATTTTTGCAAACTTACTTACTTAATTTTCTGCAGAAACAATAAAGCGGCGAGTAAATTGCAAAGGTACTTCTAAAATTTCCGCAAGATTGTTGAAAAGATGGAACCAGAAGGTTTTGCCTCAACGTAATACCAACTAATATTTAATCGACACGAAACTATCATATCCAGAATCTCATTTTATATTGAAACGATGATAAGCTCCGTCGTTTTTTTTTTTCTTTGGAGGAAACTGCAGCTGTAGAAAAGGTGCAAAGAATTCGCAGAGGGTGGATGCAGGGGCAGACCGTCTGTGCCATTTTGTCGACTAATCTGGGTTAGACGCGAAACTTTCCAGATACAGTGTGTCATCCGATCGCATATGACAAATGAACGTTGCATATGTAATACGGCAGAGAGACAGCCTTTTTAAAGCGCTGTGAATCCTCATGGCTGGCTCCCCTTACCAGCGCCCACTAGCCGTATGTGCCATGGACGTCACGGGGTACATCTATCCATAAATAAGGGCAGATGTTAGTTTAATTCTAGAATTATAGACGAAATCGATTGGCAACACATGTTCTACTTATTTGCATGAAACGACGGTCTAAAGATAATTTTATTGATTATTTATCTCTTTCTTAGTTAAGCAGCATCAGTTTTACTTAGGCTGACATAAACGCTAAAATGCCTCAGAGTTCTGAAGAGGTTTCTTACTTAAGTACTAAACCATGTACGCTTATATATTAACTATATATGACTAAACACAGCATAAGTCATCCTCTTGTAATAGTTAGATGTAATAGAAGACCTTGTTGACTATTATATCGCATCAAAGGCATTCTATCTATCTATCTATCTATCTATCTATCATAGATTTCATATTTATCATTCCGTTTCTTCCTATTCATATATCTAGTCATTTTCATTATCTATCTATCTTCTATCTATCTATCTATCACAGATTTCAGATTTATCATTCCGTTTCAGGCTATTCATATCTAGGTTCATATCTATCTATCTATTAGATCTATCTAGTCATTTTCATTATCTATCTATCTATCTATCTATCACAGATTTCATATTTATCATTCCGTTTCAGGCTATTCATATCTAGGTTCATATCTATCTTCCTACCTAGATACCTATCTAGTCATTTTCATTATCTATCTATCTATCTATCTATCTATCTATCTGAGTTTGTTCGTATTTGTCATTTTCTCTCTTTCTGTCCATCTCTCTCTGTCTATCGCAGTTTTTCTTATGAGTCTCTCAATTTGTCCATATCTATCTATCTATCTATCTATCTATCTATCTATCTATCAATTTTTTTTAAATATCTATCATTCTAGTTCAGTCTATTTATATCTATATCTTCCTACTTAGCTATCTAGTCATGTTTATTATCTATCTATCTATCTATCTATCTATCTATCTATCTATCTATCTATCTATCTCAGCCTGGAATGTTAGTGAATAGTATCTGTGTCATATCAGTAAGTATCTGAAAAGTATTTTATGTCCTTTTATTCTAAACTAAACAGAGTAAATCTTTACATATCGACACATGCCGTAGAATATATCCTAGCTTGACCGAGCTAATGATCGTGAGGTGCGGCTAAGGGTCAATAAGCAGATGTGGCTCTTGGGGCACTGTTCCGAGGTTATCCGTATACTTGGATGAGTATCGCTGCGGAAGTGTGTGATTAGCGGCGCTATATCGAGTCTAGATTATTAGGATCCAGCAAGTAATTTGATTTTTTTCTATAGACTTATTTTAAGTGTTATTCTGAATTTATTCCGTAAATATTGATAACGCCAGCTGTTCTCTCCATAATGTCCGCCTTACACTATTTCATCCTTTCCTCTTGTTTTAAGGTTTTACGATATTGCTCCAGCCTGCAGTTGTCATTTTATCCACTGCTGTTACAACTATATATATTCTGAGTCATGTTTTCTGTAGAGGAAGATTTGTTTTGAAAGTGTAGAACTGTTTCACAATACTCACTTCAGGATCTTCTTAAACCTTTCCAAAATGCCTCTGATGTAGTGGACACAGATTGGGACAATTTCCTAATTATTGTCTTCGACATTTTTATTCCTACTCGTTAATGTTATGCCTATAGGAGTTTCACAATAGCAAAAATGGAGTAGTGTTGCAATATCTTGGGTGAAACTGACCAATCCTCATTTTCCAGTCTCGATAGAGTTTAAAAGCGTTTACGCAGCCTTTTGAGTTATTTTCAATCCTACACCTTCTTTCCTCATAGGTGAAACGTTGCAAGCCTATTCCTTCCCTGTCGCTATATAAATGGCAATTTTGAGACATTCCCCAGTTTCACCAGTTCTGACCTTTACTGCTAGAGCACATCAAACCACATACACAATGTTGAATCAGCCTCGTTCCCTTCGTATTCCATTGATAAGAAGGAAGTTCCACTCAGACAGCTTTCGCCTGAGAACAGACTCCCCAGGTGAAGCTTATTCAGTCTTCATGTCTAGGGTGAACCGTTATTCATCCTATCATAATCTGCACTTATTCTTAACGCCATACAAGAAATTCACCCAGTAAACTTCTACCTTGAGTGGCTCTTCGGCCTTATATTGGAGGAACGTTTAGTAAAAATGTATTTGTTACTAGTGGACTCAAACATTGATCCTCATCTTCTATTGGTTTGCCCTTAAGAGTTTAAATCAGTGTCACAATGGACAATCTGTTTCTTTACACTGTATGGAAGTTGGGAAATTAAGTTCAGCAATTACCTGGTAACGGTCGGTTAACGATATAAAAGTTAGCTACTAAGACAACACCTGATTAAGGCTGGAGATTACAGCTGTCGAAATTCTATGCCAATAACCGTTAAGATGAGGCAACTAATTCGAAGAAAAATCACTATTTTCTTTTTTCTTTCTCACGATCGATCAGCAGTGCCCCGTTTTTAATTATTCGGCATTTTCCGACTTATTTACTAAATAAGTGACACCCTGTCTATCTAGAAAATCTGCATTTGAATTTATGTTTTTTTTTTTTTTTAACTAGGTCTGAATTCGAAAACTAATATAATTTATTCGTGAATTAAATTATTTATTAACTATTATCAAACGTAGTTATGAGTCTAGATTATTCACGGAAAACATGTTTTTAATCATTTCATTCCAAGTAAGGCAATAAAGCCACTAAGACGCAAGGGATTAGAAAATTGATTCAACACAATTTTACCTTCATTTTCTCTGTTTTCTTTTTCTTAATTCTTTTCTCTTTTTCTCTTTCTTTTTTCTCTCCCATCTGTCAGTAATTCTTTTTCTCTCCTTTTCTCTCCCTTTCTTTCTCTCCTTTTCTCTCCCTTTCTCTCTCTTTCTTGTCTCTTTTTTATTTTGCCATTTATCTTTCAATTATTTCATTCATCTCTTTCTTCGCTAATTATTCTTTTTTTTCTTTATTGCCAGCTGAACCGGCAATTTTAACTTCGCCAGACCCACTTGCTGCAACTACACTCTTGAGGAGGGCCAACGAAGTTTTATCTCTGGCGCTCCTGTCACGAGGAAATATAGCCCTTGACAATTTTGACAAGTTACAGACAGTTTTCTTCCCTTCTAGCGCAAAACTCACCGAGGAAGTCTTCTTTTCCCCGAAGTGCATCTTGTGTTAATTATTTGGCGTCTATTTATTTACGGACATGTTTCTGATGTATCGCTCGAGCATTCATTCACTTCTGACAGCAAAATCACCGTCGAAATCAATAAGATACGATTACTCACTAAGTTACCGTAACTAAATACAGACTTAAACAGAAATAATAGTAGTAGTAGAAAGGCAACTATGAACTCAAAACCAGCCTGCAGCTAAAAACAATGGTTCACTATGTCGGGTTTGATAATTTTTCTCTTCAGGATTTGTTTTATCAGGTCATCCCATAAGTTCTGTCCGAATTTTGAATAAAGAAAACAAGTGACCAAATGATACATTTAATTACAGATTCAATCAACAATGTATTTTCCCTGATTATCTATGACTTCCTTCCATCTATTAGCAAGCTTACTAATTCCATTACTGTAAAATTCTTTTGGCTTTGATTCGAAGAACTCACAAATGTCAGTTTTAACCTCTTCCTGTGTTACAAAAGCTGTTTCTTCCAAATGATTCTGTAAGCTACGAAACAAATGGTAGTCTGAGGGAGCAAGATCGGGAGAATAAGTTGGATGAGGAATTTTCTCCCAAACAAGTTCTTCGATCTTTTGTGACGTGATTCTTGCTGTGTGGGGTCGCGCATTGTCCTGATGAAACATCACCGCTTTTCGATTCACTAGAGCAGGTCTTTTTTTCCTCAAAGCTTGGTTCATACGCTCTAATTGCTGACAGTATATTTGTGCATTAATTGTTGCATTAGGTGGTAAGAATTCAAAGTGGATTATTCCTTAGCGATCCCACCAGATTGAAAGAAGAACCTTTTGCCCATGAAGTTCCCTTCTCGGCTGTGGCTGGGGTCCTTCCCCTTTTACCAAGCCACTGTCTATGACGCTTAACATTTCGCTAAAAGACCCATTTTTCGTCGCCAGTCACAAGTCTATCCAAAAAAGGTGAAACAAGTTGGCGAGAATGGAGAGAAGAGCAGATGTCAACTCGGGATTTGAGGTTGTTTTCAGACAATTCATGAGGCACCCATTTTCCAAGTTTAGGAACTTTTCCAAGTTGTTGAAGATGACGATGAACAGTTGTATGGTTTGAACTGAGAACCACTGCCAATTCCTCAACTGATAAAGCAGGATTTTCTTCAAGGGCTGCTTCAAGAAGCTTTTCATCAAACTCAACTGGACGTCCGATTCGATCTTCATCTTCAAGGGTGAAATCTCCACCTCTGGATTTTGCAAACCATCTTCTGCAAGTTCTTTCATTCACACATTCCTCTCCATAAACTGAGTGAATGTTTCTAGCCGCTTCAGCTGCTGAGTTTCCTTTCTTGAACTCATAAAGCATTATGTGCCTCAAATGATTCTTGGGTACTTCCATGTTAGCAGGGTTTTAATCAAACAAAATTTAATTTTATTGTTCTCTGAAATAAAATTTCATCAGTTTAAATGCATCTAAACATAAAAATAATGTTCAGCTCCATTAGACATTATAAAATACTCTTTAAATTTCGTTCATTTTAACAAAAAGTTAAAATTCGGACAGAACTTATGGGATGACCTGATACATATAAATGTCTACCATTCGTCCTTGCTTTGAATATTGCTGACACATGGTGCTCTTGCTGTATATCTAGAGATTCTTGATAAAATCCAATAAGAATCTGCAATATTGTTGATCCAGACCTGGCATCTCGGCTCCAGTCCTTTTCTCATCGCCGTAACGCAGCTTCCCAGTGCCTTTTTCTATAAATACTTTCATGGTATCTGTCTATATGTCTGAGATGAGGTATTATGTACACTATTTACATTGTTCAAACTATCGACCATATCTTTGTTGCCGTATTTATCACAATGTTTCGACCATTGTGCGCTCTGGCCTTCTTCAGGTGGTTGGAATGTCGAACTGGGGTAGACAAGAACAGTTTTAGTTTCACGTACTATGCCTAATGGAAGTCAGTTATTAGTTATCTCCTGTTAATTCTCCTCTCCAAGTCCTCCACAGCCTTAAACAGGTATTGAACTCACAGTTTTGGGGTACTGTCACTGGATCTAACTAATGCCTATATACACTGCGCCATGTGTCCTTGAGGACACCTGTGTATGAATTTCTGGGACTTGTAAACTTAATATTTTCAGCAACCATTTTTACCAGTGCTCATATTGCAATTTTTGCTGTTATCTTTTCATGTTTTTTTACTTGAGCTCATATGCAATTTTCGTTGTTATTATTGCTTTTCTCTGGCACTCCTTATTACTGGTTTCCATATTGTATTCATTTCTATGCTTGGTCGGCTCAGGAGATTTTTGTGGCCTAGCGTATGTGCTGATTCCTTAAGTTTACGAATTTTCCAGTGATTTACTTTCTCTAGATTTGATGTATTTAAGCGTATTACTAGTTTGGCGGCAAGGACTCATCATTTTACAGATGAAATGGCTAGATGGAACCGTAAGTTCTATGCTAAGAGTTTCTTCTATCGCACTTCACGCTTGTGAAACTTCCTTCTGGCTTCGTGCTTTCAAGTCAAATTTGATCTTCATAAATTTAAATACAGCGTTGATTGTTATCTTCTGTCTTCTTAATTTCTGTTCTTTTATTGTTCTCTCTGCTTAATTTTTTTTTTCATTTCTATCACCCAGTATCGTCTTACAGGCTTTATTGCCTAAAAAAGCCTAAAGAACAATTAACTCTTGCCCCAGACACACCCATTGTTGCTACGGCTGCAATGGATTATGGAACTCCTGTGTGCGTGCGTGCATGCGTCTGGAAAAGCGATTCTCGGATTAAAAATCATGAACGCAATGATGAAACTATTGACTTCTTGCAGTGTCATGACATGATTGCTTCATTGATTGATTGATTTGTTTTTTTACGGCTTATCAACCTTTTGTGGGTTATTTAAAGCCGAGACATATTTAGGATTGTACGATTTTTTCCAGATACTTTCCCACGTGTACTTGCATGTAAGTGAATATAAGAAATTGAACTCAGTTCCATTGCACCATTCGTATGTCTCCTGCTATGCTCTGAGGAATGAGGTGAGGTCAGGCCAGGTTGACGACAGCATATAATCCAATCCAAAGCTGAAAACATTTCTCGATGTTATCTTCATCTTCAAGCCCATAAAATTATCTAGTGAACAAAGATTTTTAATATGATTATACATTTTATTTAGTTTCATTGTTATTATTTTATCAAACACGTTCTTTCTTTTCCGCTGATAAGTAGATATTTAATATGAAAAAGAAAATCTAGGTTCACGATCGATTATTTTTGCACCAACCTAATAAAAAGCGTCAAAAACAGAATATTATATCTTTAGATTCTAGACAAAATCCAAAGAGTCTGTAATTTTATCGGTCCTGACATGGCATCTCGACTTCAGTTTCTTTCTCACAGATGGGACGTGGCTACCCTTTGTCTATAAATATTCTATATTCTATAAATATTTTCCGGGCAATTGTATCCGCATTAATGTAAGCTTAGTACTAAGTAGATCTGTAATTTTATGGTTTTACTATTGAAATAGTTAGATGTAACCTTAAGTTCTATTCACGTAGGTTTTTCACAAACTTCTCACGTGTGAGACTATCTTCCGGATACTTGTTTCCCTGCTGTCTATGATCTTCAAAAATTTAAATGCAACACAATCATCATCTTTCTGTTTTTTTATTGCAGGGATGTGTGTTTGTGTGTATTTTAGATTCTAGAAGATTAAACAACGTGCGACTAGATTAGCCACTAGCTTTCATCGTTTTGCTGTTGAAATGGCTAGATGTCACCGTAAATTCTATTCTAATAGTCTTTTCTTACACTTCTCAACTGTGGAACTCTCTTCCGGATTCATGCTTCTCTGTCACCAACGACCTTAAAATATTTAAATTCAACTTCAATCGCTGTTTTCTATCTTCGTGATACCTGTTTTTTTTTAATGCCCTTTCTCCTCACAAATGTCTTCTCATTCTCTTTCACTATCACTAACCCTTGACGTCTTAGTGGCATCATCGCCTTGGTGAAATAAGTAAAAAAATGTCGTCTGTTCTAAACGCTCGCGTTGGGTGGGGGTCAAATATGGCCTGACACCACCTACGACTCGAGCTCAACCACACTTATGCTCTACTACCGCATTGGTCTTCGCTCAACCACACATTGAGGAGGGCTATTGACGGATATTTTGTTAAGGCCTTTTTCGATTTTGATAACAAAAGATACTGAATCGTTTATGGGCAAAACTTTGTTCATGGACGACTGTCTCAAAGTACAAGTTTCACAAGGACAATATAAATATCAATCGTGTATACTCATGTTATTTGTTTGGCTATTTTCTTGATTTTGCTTAGTGGCATATCAACACCTCTATGGGTTATTTAATGCCGACATCTAAATATGAGAGTTTAAACTTTATAATTAATTCAAGAGAATGACATTATTTCATAATTGAATTTCAGCATCAATCGTCATTTTCTGTCTTCTGTTATTTTTTCTACCCATTTTCAATCTTTTCATTCTCTTTCATTCCTAATAACCCCCAGCGTTCTAGCAGCATTGTCGCCTTGCTTGGGGTGAAAAGATTCAAAACCTTATTTAGCTGCATTTTTTTTAAACAAATAATCTTACAAAATCTCAATTGAGCGATATAGGTTTGCCTATTGTACGGTTCACAATCCTCCCTGTTATTTTGAAGTGGAGTTGAAATTTATTCCTTGTTTCCGGTTTAAGGATTTGACTTCCGGTTTCTTCTAAAGTCTTTTCCTTTCCTTTCACTTCCAGTAGCTCCTTACATCTTAGTGGTATTATTGCCTTGCTAGGGGTGAATTGATTTTTTTTTAAAATCAAA